GTTTTGGTCTGCCGTATGGTGTGTTGGGAGCTGGTGTTTACCACAGCGACCCTAGGCTTTCTAACAGCAAAAGGAAGTAAAGAGTGGTTTTGTAAATAAAAAGAAAAAATCCCTTAACTAAGAGATGAGTATTGCCCAAAAAAGGGTATGCCTTTTTAGAAGATGATGTCATGTTTCATGTGTCTGTGTTTAGCGGGGAACGAGCGTTTTCCTTAAGAATACATGCATTTCTGAACAAAATTTCTATTAAATGCTTTGGTTAAGTATCACCATCTAAAATCAATCCTAAAACTGGTCTATTTGATAGGGCTTTGGACACACCCAATTTTGCGTTGCCTTTGTGTAAAATAGAGTAGGCAAATCCTCCCTATTAATTACCCATGTTTGTAACATAATACAGAGCAGTTCTTCCTGTGTGTCTGTGTGGGGAAATGCAAAATGAGCACTTGGGTTCATTTTTATGTTGTCTCTGCCCGTATGCCTAATATTGTCATCCTCTAAACCATTCTGGTTTTAATCACATAGCAGTTAAGTATGTGGCGTTTTTCCTACGGCTTCAGAGGAGCAGTCAGTGGGGTGTTTGGGAGCATGGTGGTGCAGGGACAAAATAGCTGTGGTTTCCCAACTCGTTTTAGCAGGGGACATATCTGTGTTGAAAGATTAACAGTTCGTAGCCATGTGTTCCTTATGTAATTATGCCGAGGTTCAGGATTTTGTAATAGCACCGTTTCACCAAATTTTTTTTTAGGGAATGTACTGTATTTTAGCTATGCAAAGAGAGCGCTAATTTAACTTGCTGAAGTACTGGAGGGGAGAAAAAAAAAGGAAACAAACCCTATTCCTTGAATATGGGTGGTTTTCTACCATGTTAGGGAAGTAAGATGGCTTAGGGTCTACCGGGTGCTAGGCTGCGGCCAAAGTTAAGAGGGATGTGGGGCTGTATGGTTGATAGGAATAGGAAGGTAGAAGTGCTTGGGAAGGAAAAGTTGCCAAGGAGAGGAGCAGAGCTATTGCATTAACTTGGCCGCCTGTGGAGCTTCAGCCCAAGTTACCCCTTTGCGATCATTCAGCTTGAACTGATGGCAAAGCATCTGGCTTCATGCTTTGTGGCCGCAGTGGTTGCGGTCCAGTACCGGGCTCTGAAAGTAAATTTAGTCTTAAGGCACTGTAGCTTAACTTCTGATTTCTGCTGAAGTGCTAGCCTCTTGCCTTGTCTTTCTGATCAGAGGCTGACTGATGGCAGAGTAACTACACTGCAGCTGCTAGTCTTTCCTGCTTCTTCAAATATAGTCATTTTCTCAGGTGATAATGCTTTTTGGGGGAAATAGTTGGTGCCCTCGGTAACACGCTGCAATTTAAGAAAGTGAAAATGCAGAGCTGATGTTTGTACATCAGCCTGTTAAAGAGAGAATGTGTGAAGGCTGCAGGTCTAACTGGCACGTACGCGTGTGTAGTGATGGGCAACCTACCATTTGATTGCACCCGTGAAAGAATTTCACTTCGTTTCCAGCCCATTAGCTGATGTTGAGGTCCTACCTGTGAGTTACGCACAGTAAACAAGTATGCCAAAGGGCTGCCCTATGCAGCGTGGTTATAGAAAATGCCAGCATGAATATTGGTGTGCATTCTTAATAAACAGTGCTACTGTTTGGGTGTGCTGAAGTGCCAAAGATCCTGAACAAGCTTGTAGTTTGCAAACGGCATCAGGTAGTCCCAGACGTTTAGCAAGGAGAGATTCATGCTTGTTCCTACGTGCCTTGAGGTCTCTCAATTACGGAATTGAATATTACTGTCCATTTAAAGTCGAGAAGCAAGGAATTTGGTCCCGTAAAATGCACACAGAGTTGAAATTTCTTCCTTTACGTCCAGTTTTAATATTTGCTACTTACTGTTGCTAAACATGCTGAGTGTTTTTAAAGTTGCTAGATCTCCTATTTACAGTCAAGTTCCCTCTGTTCATTGTAGAGAAATTTTGAAAATAGCTGGAAAATTGTCATGTATTTTAAGGTGGGTGAATGCCATTGTCTTTTGTGAGTGCCAAGCAGTAAAACAGAGTTATTTTGGTGAGCTAAGAAGAAAAAATAAAACTGAGAAAGCATGTTAGTGTTCAAGCTAGATAGTAAATTTCAAATAAACTGCTTTTGAAATTAATGAAATTCTGAGAGTCTTTAACTCAGTCTGACTTCTGGTTTCTGTTTTCACAAATATGTTAAGATGATGGTAATGCCAGACTCTGGGAAATCCAGGGAAATCCTGTACTCTACTATAAGCAGACAATAATAATGTTTCTGGTAGGAATTGTGAGGTCAACAAAAGGCCCATGAAAAATAAACTTGATTTTTTGGGGGTAGAGTGGAAACAGATGGTAGTAGCAGCAAATTAACAAGAAGTGGGATTTGGAAAAAAATAAACCGTTGTATCCTTCCGTTTCATTTATTTCTTTGTTTATTTTAAATCAAGTGCTTAATGTTAAAAGCAGTGTCTGCCTTAGGTAGGCCGCATGAATCTGTTCAAGCCATTCCCTCAAGAGGAACCTTGTTAATGTGAGGATTTGCACAAGCTTGCCAGGGGTGTCTCAGATTTTTCCCCTTGCTCGCTGCTATCTATCAAAGCTTTACCACGTGTGGGTTTTTAAGACTGCCTAGCCTTTGTGGGGGAGGAGCGTAACATCTGCCAATATGAAGCAAAACCTACTCAACACAGTGAAATCACATCCTTTGTCAGCTGAATTGCACGTTAACCACAGCTACGGCCATCCCAGACATACGGTAAGCCAGCCTGGGGGAATCAATCGGGAATCAATCAGGGATCAATGCTAATATCGTCACTGCATTAGTACCACTGGATTACGACGTCAAGAAAAGGAAGCTTGCGCACAGAATAAATTCAGCTAGCAAGAAGGGATGCAGAAAAAAGTAACACGTTGTGGAAATATAAATAAAATGAAAATTAAAACGCTGTGTGGCATTATTTAAAAAATGTATTTGTTCTCTCTGATTGAGAAAGGCACGGTTGTTAATATTCTCTTTATTTGCCAACATACGTGGCTTGCAGCGCCGTGTCTGTTACTAAGTTGTGACAGGCTAGACTGTTGTAAAGCAAGGTACTTTGCATAATTAGTATGAAGACATGTGAACAGATGAGCACTAGTTCTTAGAAGTTTAATGATTGTCAATTATCTTCCCCTTTTTTTTGGATCTAGTCCAAGATGAGCAGAATATCAAGTGCCTCAACGTATAGTTTCTTAATTGGCCCAAGCACACTTTATTGCCAGATGCCACCCCAAAATGTGGCTTTGCCTTCTGACCCGCCGTCATCAGCAGTCAGATCAGCTTGCTGAGGTTTGACAGTGTTATTTTTTTTTTTTTAATTCCTGCACTAGAGTTTGTTTGGATCCGTAAGCGGATCTGACTTGACACATGGCTTCAAGATTGTTAGTGCAGATACAAAGGCAGTGAGAAGGGTGAGACCGTCCCTTGCAGCACCATGGGCTTTTATACTGGTTTAAGATGATGTAGAAGTCACGTCTTCTGTTCAAAAGTGCATGCTGGAAAAATTCTCACTTCACCTGCTTCAACTTCTTATCCACTTCTAAAGCGGCCTGGTTGTCTCGTTGGATAAGTAGCTTGCAGCTCATGTCTTCTCCAAGTCTCCCTGAAGTCCAGGAATTTGGGCCTTCCTTAGAAGGGCTTCATGTCATTCTGTTTTCGAACACACCTAATGCTGATTTTTTCAGCAGCAAGCTACCGTAAAATGTCGTTGTGGTTATGTATGTGGGTGGATCCAGAGCCGCATCTTCCAGGGAAGCATCCTAAAGCCCAGAGGGTTACGCCGTTGTGCGGAGGTCGTTCTTCGTTGTTTCTCTTTGAAATTCTGTTACTGTGGTAAAATGAAAAGGAGTAAAAAGTCAGTACCTTTGCTAGGGCGCTTGCTTTGGAGGCGGGAAAAGTAATGGAATCTTGTTCCCAGGACAGTTTCTTTGTTTTTGTCAGATGGCTGTTTAATGTGAAATGCAAGAAAATGCTATTTTTTTTCTCTGACTTTGTACACAGTTTAGCCTGTATTGTTTAAAAGCATGTAGTAAGAATTCTAATTATTCTCTTCACTATTTCTGAATAACGTCTTTCTTCAGACACAGAAGTCTTCTGTTTTTAATGTCAGCCTTTGAATGTAATGATTTATACACACTTGAAATGACGTTGAAAATATTTCTGTGAAGAAGCTTTTTCAAAGATTTCTTTCATAGAAACCACTTCTTTAAATGAGGCAAGGAAAAATATTCTGCTGAAGGCTGTTTAATATTAAAGATTGAAATAAACGCCTTTATGGTCATACATCTCATTACAAAATAACGAACATCTAATTTGCCCTACGCTTTTTCCTTTTTGTCAGGACTGTCTCCTGAAGGAAAAGGAGCACTGACATTCAGCTTTACTTGGCAGACATTTCTTAGCAGCTTAACCTGAGAACTTTATATATTTTTAAGGGGTGCACCGAAGTTATAATTTCTGTGAAAGACACTGAAAGTAATTCTGGGAGAGTAAAATTCCTAACCCTAAATCAAAACTTGAGGGAAAGAAATACCCAACCCAGACCAAACATGCAAGTACTGTCCTCCCCCAATTCCTCTTCCCCTTTTCTCCCCCACCGCAGTTTACTTGAACAGATCAGAAAATATTTTCACAGAGCTGAAGAAGACAAAAACATTGTGCATTTTGCTTTGCTCTGCTCTGGTCTTGTTGCACAGGCTCATAATGCTACTTTTTCTTTTACATGATAAACATATTTGATCAGGTCTCCCTTTGGTTGAAGCTGTTAGTGTGAAATTAAAATTTAAAGATCTTAGGAATAACTTACCTTGTATCGTATAATAATGTTTTTTAATAAATGGGAGTATCTTTCCCCACGAGTTTCTTAAAAGGAGTTTCCATGCGTGTTCTTTGACAAACTGAGTTCTAACCGTTCCTTTCTTTTAAAAGTGGTAAGTATAGGGGGGAAAAATGGTGGCAAAATCAAGGTATGTATTCATGCTGTGTTTATAATGCATAAGAGGTTTTAAAAATACTTTACAATCCAGAAAAACCTGTCTTGGGCTGGAAAATTACTTAAATTTGCCTTGAGAGTAAATGTTGAACGCAAGTAGTAGAGGGATTTTTGCATCTTGTTTCTGAGAGGAGCTGTATGAAAATCTGCCTCTTGTGCCTTCAGATTGGAAGCATTCATAATATTTTTTCTGATGGCAGTTTCTTTTCTCACTCTGGGCAGGAGCAGGAAGATGCATCCTCTGATATGGTAAATGTTTTAATAAAAGCCAGTCTGGCAGCTGCTGCTTGTGTGCCTGCAGAAGTCCTTGGGCATGCTTTCTCGCAGTCCTTTCAGTCTGCCCTTCAGATAGTCTCGGGAAGCATGGGTTTCTCTGAAACAGTCCTTTGCAGACAGGCTGAGAAGCATTTTTGTTTTCCTGTGGGCTTTGTCTGTACATAAAATGGCTTCCATTTTTCTTGTGTTTTACAGCGGCTCTAACAATTCCACTTGCCTGCGGCTAGTCCTTAAACAACTGTAGGCTTGTTTGCATGCTAAGAAGTGAAATAAGTCAAATTTATTTGTACCCACAGTGAAGCGTCTACCAGTTTTTTCTACTCTTGATCTTGTGCCATGGGAAGTATAAAAATACGAGTGCTGTATAGCTTGCCACAGTGGATCATCTCTCACGAAGCTAGTCTGGGGTCCTGTTTAATGATGGGACGAAAATCTTCCAGAATAAGATACAAAACCTTAAGTTTGGATAGCTGTGAGATTCAGTTTTAGGTTACGTTTTAAAGAACTAATCATTAGAAGTTGCTAAAATGTGCGGTATAAAGTTCAGTGTTTCTTTTGCGGACTTCATAACATCACCTACATGGGCAACAACATTTGATAGTACCTGATGAGGTGTCTTTTTACTGTCATCAGTGGCTTTAGTTTCTGTTTTTGTATCTAAGACTGGATCAAAATATCCATTCATACAGTGGACTGTGATACAGTCCAGCGTATAATGCGAATTGGGAAGTTTCAGGCAAAAAGAATAATTGAGGGATTCAGAACTCAAATAGGCAACCTAAAAATGGGGAAAAAAAATAAAACTGGAGTGGTTTGCACTGATTTTTGTATTCCTATGAAAGTATCTTCAAATGTTGCCTGTCCTTTACTGTGGATGTTCAAATTGCACTGAGTTTATCTGTAATGTAAACCTTTCGTGTTCATTCTGTCTTTCAGAGAAAGTAGAGCATGGTAATTGTAGTATTACTGGAAAGATCTATTTGCTTTTTAGTTGGCTTAAGTAACTATGAAAATAGGAATACCTGACATGACTTTCTTGTTTGTTTGAGCTGATGATAAATTTAGCTCTGTTTAAGTGTTTCTGTAAGAGACATTTGTTTCCTAGAGCTGAACAGCTCATAGTTTATATAAACAAGACCGTAAACAAGAAAAAACATTCAGTAATATCAACAGTGAAATTTGTTGCCTTCTATCTGTATTAAAACAAGCTCACAAAACGTTGCCTAGAAGCACAAATTGTGTTGCTCTTTGGCTAGCGTAGCTGAATTTTTTTGCCTGGTTTAAAGATGCATATTGGACAACGAAATTAAACTTCATATAATAATTCATTTTGATGATGAAAATCTTGGCAAGACTTGGTATTGCTTCATTTCTTTTTCATGTAGATTATCAAAGATTATACTTTAGGCTTATAATTTTCCCTAACACTTCATTATAGAAAAATTTCATGGCTTTAATACAGAAGTCATGAGAGAAGTAACATGCATGTTATGAATATGATCTAGATATTTCTTTGGGTATAGAGGGGAAAAGGTTCCTGCTTTTATGATCGCATTAAGTATTATTCATTTAGAGTTGTTCTGAGCTGCAGTTTACGTTCTGACTAGAAACCCAGCAGCGTAAGTTCAGCTTGTTAATTTGTCTTGCAGAAAAAAAATCTTTCTTAAAAAGTTACGTTCTTCTGGAGTTCAGCTTTTATGATGTTAAATGAGAGTATTGGCTTTATATTTTTCCATTATGGACTAAATAAAATTCTAGAGAGTAATGCAAGATGCAAGGAAGAACTGTAGCACCTGAAACTTAAATAATAATAAGATAAAATCCCCTGGTCAGGAGGTGTCTATCTCAGAGTGGACATTGAAATTGCTTTCTCTTTTCTGTCTGAAATTTCGGTTCTAATTTCAGTTCTACATTTCTGCTTATGTATGTGCTTGTAATAATGACAGGGTGACCCATTTGAGTCTTCGTGATACTGGTAAGCAGAAGCATCACTGGGACACTGCGGATAGCATGACACTGGTGCTTTATTAACCAAGGACGTGGGTGAGACCCTGCGGGTTTGCGAGTGGAGGCAGAGCTCTCTGTGCCTTTCCCCCATCTCCCCCACACGAATATCGTGCTTTTCGCTTTGATCTTGCAAGAGGTCTGGGATGTGTCCGTGTTATGTAGTTACACAAGGTGGTAATGGTCTGATGGTGCTGGAGGTGCTGAAACTCACCTTTTGCAAACTCCTCTTGGGGTGTAGGAGCTACTGCAGTCCCTTCCCTTGTCAGCTTCCGACTTGGGCATCACCTGCCCCATGTTCCTCTGCTCTCTACTTCGTTGGTAGAGAAAGGAGTGTTGCTGGCTTGGTGAGAGGAAACTTGAACAGAAGTTTTTGCTAGAGGTTAGAGATTAACAGGGCACTTGGTTGGAAGGGATAGTTACGGGTTCTAGTCTTCTCTCAGGGCTGTGTGTGTCATCTTTTAGTGGGCAAAAATAAATAATCTGGGGATGGTTTGATATGAGGTCTAAATGTATTTCAAATAAAAGATACCCAAGTTGAAGTGTGTCTACTTAGTTTATATAATAAAGAAAAAAAGCAAGGTCAACTCTTTAGCCTACCAAATTTGAGCATTTCAAAACACTGACTTTAAGGACGAATTCTCTTTCTTTTGCAGCTGCAGCCGCCTTCGAAACATTCAGAGTATCCTGACACAGAGCAGCAAATCTCAACCTGATGGAATCCTTTGCATTTTAGGTTAGTTTTATTTTTTTTCCCCCGTTTTGTTCTCACTGTACTGATAAAGATACCATGAGTTTCAGAATGATGACTATCATCTCCTTCCTGCCCCAAGCCCCAGCCCTGTTTCTCAGTGAACGGACAGCTGATTGTTACACTCTTTTCTCCCTAAATAATTCTTAAGCCTATTTACTAATTTCAGGCAAACTTGCTACAATAGTAATAATACCAACGTTCTTGCAGGCCATATGGAAATTCAGTGGCTGGAGGGAAGAGGGAATCTTTGTTTATGTCCAAATTTGAAGGAAAGACGGAGAGAATGTAATCCATATCTATTTGGAGTAAACAGCTGTCTAGGCAGCGTTTGCGTTCTGGCTGGTGCTTGGCATAAAAGCTCCAGGCTGAAGGCACACGCGTTGCAGCTGGTTTCCCTGTGGAGGCGGAAGGGATTAGAAGGTGCTGAGGTTAAAGGGGTGGAGAGGAGCAGAGGAGCACCAAGGTTAGGGATGGTGATATGCAGAGCTACGGAGGGTGGTGTCTGAGAACAGGCTTGGCGGGGAGCGGGGGGAATAGTCAGAAAAGTGACAGAATTAATAAAACCTGAATTTAGGGGGAGGGAGGTCTTGCCTCAGGAGAATTAATTCAAAATGCAATTAAAGAATCGCATGAGAAACCCGGGAAGCAGTTGCAAGTTAAATGGCATATAAACAGCATGTGGTTTCAGTCCTTTATTTCTTCTGGGCCTGGGAGAAAAGGGTGATAGGAAATAAAGCTACATGCGCGAGTATGCTGTAGGAGAGTAACAGGTTTTTTGCCCTGCTTTAATATCATTTCTGTATGTAACACTGACTCTTCTTTCTTATTATATAATCAGCATCAAGATATTAAAGGAAAAATTCACGAATGATGATTGAAATTCCTTAGAGAATAGGGCTAAGGAGTGATTGTTTAAATAATGTATTACAGTTAAAGATGGAGAGATCTAATGTACCCCTAAAAAAGCTATGTGTAGTAACGGGCTTGCATTAAGAAATGATACAACAGCCTGGGTTTTTTTAGTTGGTTTTTTTTTTTTTTTTCATGGGGTAGCGAGAAAACTTGAAGAAGCTCATTTACTGAACCACAAAAAAGTTGTAAATGTGTATAACCTGGTTCTGTTTTGGTTGATGCTAACCATATAACATGGCACTTCCTAAGAAGTCCTTGGCTAAGTAGGAGCTTTACAGCTAAAAGGTCTGTAAGGTGACTGTGTCAACCTTCCAATGAAACTTAATCATACAGGATAAAGTACTTGTTTTTTGCCTTCGATGCTAGTCTAATTTCATAAAATATGACAAGTTGGGCCATCTCTTAATTCTTGCCACTGACACTGTAGTATTTCTTGGCTATTTTTAATTTTGAAGCTGCAGTAAGTCCTAAGCAAAGAATAGGCACTCAAAACATTGTATGGCTTTAGGGAAAACTTTACAGGCAAAAGGAATTGCTTTGTGTAATCCTCAGTGTAATGTGGAGTATTTAAGTCCATGCATAAGACCATAATGTCTTAATAAATAAGTATTTCTGTTATGGAAATATAGGAAGTGTGTTTTGTTACGGGACTTGTGCTTTGCACTAATCTCTTTCAGCAGCCACAATGGGACTGTTGTTGTCTAATCTGACCTGTCTAATGTGGCCTGCAGAATTTCTCACATAACTTCTGATTATGCAGGCATGTCACTCTGTTATAAATGCATTAAATCTGTCTTCAGACACAAGGTTCGGGTGGCAAAAAAATATGTAGTCTTACATTTTGAGTCCTGTTGACTTGCATGGAAAGCAGATACTCTCATGTTTTTTTTTTTTTACAGTCAGTACATGTTATATTTCACTTGGCTGTCTTTAACGACCTAGAATTAATGCATTTCCCTCACCCCAACTTTAATTTTACATACTGGGCTGTGAGATAAAAACAATATAAACTTGCATAGCTTCACTTCAAGTAGGTTAATATTTATGCGGACATTAAAAACAGCATTCTGAGATTGCAAAGAGATGAGAACCGACCAATTATTGATACAATTATTTAAATGTAGTTACAGCTGATTTTTTAGAAGAATCCTGCCATCTTATTTTAAAGTAGTTGAATGGAAAAAAATTCCTGCATTCTTTGCTGGGGAGAAAAGACATCACAAGTGGCAGGAAAAAGGAATTTGGAGGTTGGCATGTCAGGCATCTTTAAAAAGCTGTGATGTCTCAGCTGGAGTGTGTTGCTCTTAAAGTTGCTAAGAAAACAGTACATCAAACTGCTTAAATTATACTCTAAACTATTTTTTTTTTTTAACAGTGGTGTTTCTCACATCTTACCTTTGAATGGAGATTTTCAGCTCACGATTAAGTTGATCTGATTTCTGAGGGTGTGTATTTAGTTTCAGTAGGTTTATATCTATAAATCTGATTGTAGTTGTAGCTGTTCTGATTGTAGATCAAGCTGTTTCACAGTTCGGCATAGCTAAGCTAAATTTTTAGACCTTGATATTTGGTTTTTATCTTCCCTGAAGAGGCTAGGAATACTTCAGAGGCTGTGCCAGTAAATCTTCAAGTTTATTTTACCTTGGTTTTTATATCTGTCCTACACAGACCTCTTGCTCTTAGGACGTGGGAGAAACCTCACCAGCGTTTAGTACGTTGGAGTGATTGTCCATCCCATTCCCTTTCCCAGTGGAGACTATTTTAATGATTGTTGTGCTGCTTCTCTTAGATGGCAGTTCCACACCTGCGAGTCGGTTTTCGGCAGCTGTCTAAAGGCGATCTGTCCGTGCTCTCCAGCCTCACCTCCCTGCCACCGCTCTGGTGTCCCTAGAGCTCCCGTGGCTGTTCAGTGTGTTATGGAACAACTATTCTTTGTTTCGGTACTCAAGGGTGTGTCAGAAATGCATGGCTGGGACAGAAAAAGCAGGACTTTTTTTACCTATAGGCTATGTTTATGTCAGCTTAGCAACTGTGAAATCGCAGATATGAGAGATGGCCGAGCTGAATGCTTTTTGCAGCACAGAAGGGGACCCTCAGCCTGCCCCTAGACTGCTCCTCTTCCCTTTCCTCCCCACATGCATTTTGCATCAGTGCTGGTTGATATCTTGCACCCGGTTCATCCTACTAAGCAGACGGAGATGATTTTTTTTTTTTTTTCCTCCTGTATTTGGACTAGTTTTCTGCCAATTTAGCAAACTGACTCAGCTTGCTGAGAGGTCAGATAAGCTCTGACTGCAGGAGAAGGAGCAGGAAACCCTTGCGGTGAGTTGGGAACAGTCTGGGAGTTACTGAACTCCCAGCTCAGTTGGAGGCAGGCGTGGGGGGTTTCCTAATTAATAGCGTTCCCCATTGTTCTGTTGAGGACTCTGATACGCTTGCGGGGGAGGTATCTTATCTTTGTCATTGTTTCATTTCCTGTTTATTTTCCGCTAACTATATCTGTTCATTTAACTCCATATGTTTCTGTAGGATAGTATTAAAGCCTCAGTACGAAAGCTCCTGTCTGTGCTGGATACTTAAAACAAAAGCAAAACCCCAAAAAACAATTATTCTGCAGAGTTAATTCTTTCATGGTAAGCTAATTTCTTCCCTGCTAGTCCGCCAGTGCTCTGCAAGCAATAAATTCACCCATGTCCTCTATTATAAGAGCTAAGCTTATCAGCTGCCCCCCTTGTTAGCATCTTTTTTTTGTCTTCTCTTCCCCTCCTTCAGTCATTAACCGAAAAAGCAGAGTTTTGGTGTTTAGCTTTGAAGATCTCTGCTTCAAGCCTGAAGAGCTGGTGCACCCAGATAAAACCTCAAACTCAAGTGATGGCAACCTCTTAACTTTTTTTCAATGCGGACAGTTTCTCATTCTTCTTCTGATCTTCCAGACTTTATAATAATCTGTTTTTTCTGTTTCGCTATATGTTATTCTGTTAGCCTGACCCTGAGCGCACCAGCTGGGCTGTTCAGGTTTTGGGAACCCTAGCAATGAGCCTGATGGGGAAAAAGTGCAAATGCCATGGCTGCTTTCATCCATGCTGTTCGGCCTGTAGTGGAAGGTGCCTCGCTGGATTAACATTTGATATCGGTGGTGTTTGCTTGTGAAACAGAAGTAATGCTGCTTGCAGAGCAGCTGATCTAACAGCTTGCTGCCGCTGAAAGGGACTGTCCTAACTCCTCCTTTGTGCCAGATTATTGCTCACCTGATTGTCTTCAGAAGTTGCTTCGGTTAGGCAAGTGATCAGTAAAACAGGTTATCTTCTGGCATTGTGTGTGCTAGCTTTCTAAGGCTGTAGCTGATTTGAAGGAGATTGATTACGTTTAAATGGAGTTCCCTAGAACAATGGGACGGTTGCTTCCTGGAAGAATGGAGTCTCCGCACTTGGTTGTAACTAAAATCCCACCTAAAGGCGGGGGCTTTGGCACCAATACCAGTGTGTTGAGTCCCATTGAATTCTAGATTACATTGGTACGCCTGCTTTCATGGGGCTGGAAATGTAAGTGCAATAAAAAGAGACAGTGTCTTCTCCCTCTCCTCCCTCTTTTGCACCTTCTGTCTCTCTGAGTTCCCAGATGCAGGGCAGTCTGGTTATGAAGAAAATTATTGGCACAGCAAAGGCAGAACATTGCAGCGGGGGGGAAAATGAGAGACTGGGTCTGAGCAGCTGAGTCTTATCGATGCCACGACCTGAGTTACAGATTGATTGCTAAGGCTCTTGATACTCCCTTTGTCAAGGGATGCCTCTTAACACACAGAATTGTGACTTCTTTTACAAAGAGCATGCTTCAAGGACGTGTATATATGAATGGGGGATCAGTGCTAGAAGCCAGATAGCAGAGGAATGAGGATTCAGAGATTGTGCCTGGAAAAACTTGTGAGGCTGAGAAAGCCGGGGCAGGTGTGATGCAGGTTCCACCTCTCCCAACACAGTTCAAGGAATGCGATGCTATAGGGTGTCACTGGTGCTGATAACCATGAAGCCATGAGCAGGGAGCAGTGTTACGGAGCTTCAGCACAATTTAAGGGATTGTTTCTCTTCTGTAGGCTTAAACCAAATACCTTGGAATATTTGTGAGCTATCCAAAGGTCAATTACTACACAAACAAGGGAGTTCATTAAGATGTGGGATTCAGTAGCTGGATGCAGACACGGCATCTGGTTAGCACTTTAAAGCTGAAGCATACCATAAAGAAAAGGGACATAATTAGGAGAACCTAGGGTTTGTTCCAATTTCTGGTAACTTCAGGTGACTCTTGAGTAGTTTGGTTTCCGTTGCAAGTCCTGAAACCCAGACATCCAGGCTGAGTTATTACTTTATCAGTGTACTGATCTCTCCTTTGGACAGTGGTAACAAATCTTGATTTGTTGGCAACCATCCGACTGTATCCCAATATAACTTGGTAGGAAACTTGACGGTAGTGTTGATGAGAAATTTTGTAGTGGTCAAGACTGGTGAGCTCTGTCAAGTGTGGATGTCGAGGATGCTGCTTCATGCATAGTTACACTTGTGGAGAAAATGTGATTTATTAGAGTAGAATTAGGAATTATGACTGTGACTGTCTTCCAGAGAGACGAAAATACTTCCTAAATCTGTGGCATGTTTCCTTTCTTCTTGTATTTATTTTCTAATCTCTTCACGTTCCCCATCTTCAATTGTTTTAATTTTATTTTCTCAAGGACCAGAAAAGGTTTTCCTTGGAAGCTGTTCGTATACCATATATTTTATCAGAATATCTTTTCATGATTTGCTAGAAGCCTGCACTGGCTTTCTGGTGACTCAGGGATTGCGCTGTAATACTGATAAGATAATGTTTAATCATGTATTCTAAAGCAGGAGATTTAGGTCACAGGATTAGTTTGTTAGGAAGCTTCAATCAAGAACATATTAATTTGAATGCATACTGCATACAGAGAGATGTTTAAGTTTGAATTACTGGATAAAATTGAACTTCTGTTGATGCACTGCTCTGTAGAAAACTGGACTTATTTAGGGTTTTTTAAGCAACGCCTGTGGATTTAGGTCAAGAGTGGAATGCCAGCATGTGGCAATGAGCTTGCAAAAACTCCTCTTTCCTTACCCTGTTTTCCCAGTATGTTCAACGGGCATAAGTGCCCACTGATGATGTGAGGGAGTTGAGTTAATGCTGCTGTTTTTTCTTATTAGGAAAGAAAACAAACTTTTCCAGTGTACAATGTTAGGACACACAACACTTCACATATGGTTTTGCTTTTGCAGGAATAGATAGTCGATACAATGAAGGTTGCAGGGAACTGGCAAACTATCTGCTTTTTGGCTTGTATAACCAGAATAACAACGACTTTGAAAGAACTGGGTTTCCTGAAGAAGTTCTTGATGGTGAGTGATATACTCGGCATTTTTAACTATTCTTCAGTCTTTCTGGAGGGAGAGTGAGCAGAAAAAGGGGCATACCTAAAAAAAAAAGTTGTCAGTAAATCTCTAATTGTGTATATACACCTGAAAAACTGTTCTTAAAAATGCTGCTGAAGAACTCTTGTTTTGAAACACGTCCCCCCTCCGTACATTCCCCCAGGTGTTCTAAACCTAGGCAAATACAGCCCATTGTGAGAAGTCCTAGTTCCGTCGTGGTATGTCCGTACATGCGTTACCAGTTATTGTGTGATCACACCTCCGGAGTTCTAAAATACTGGAGCTCTTTTTTACTTTAACATATTAACTCACTTCTGTAATATTTGAACGGTGGCCAATCGCCATGATCATAGATTATTATTCCCTTATTTGCATGAAACTTTGAATATCTACCCCGTATGCTGTAGTGCTAGTTTTTAGTTGGAGCAACCTTCTGATGTGATATCAGGCAAGAGCGACTATAGTTTACAGTTTTGTAAGTGCTCTGTAAGGACTCGTCACTGACACTCGTGGCTTTTCAAAGGACAGGCTGATGCAAGTTCTGTGCAAGACTTCAAAATAAACCCACAATTGTTCTGAACAGTAAGAAGTGCTATTGTACTTGGAACTGTATATGGCTGCCAACTGTTTTTTTGGGGTTTTTTTAAAAGAAGTGGGGAATGGTTGTGTGTTCAAATAGTTAAACCATTTTCTTTTAATGAGGTACTTTATAGGAAAAGAGTTTTCTGTTCAGCTTCTGTGGGGGGTTTGTTGTGCCTATGTAATTCTTCTGTGTGTGGAGTCTTGATGCTGGAATAATATTTGTTCTGCTTGTTGCAGATATAATCATATTAATAAAACCTGACAGTGTCCATCTGTACTGTAACCCTGTGAATTATAATCATCTTTTGCCATATGTGGCATACTGGAGGAACTTGCATTTTCACTGTCTAACTGAAAATGAGGTAAGTGGCAGATGAATGCAGATGAGAATTCCTAATGACCGTGCTAATGAACTGATACTCAAAGTGGAACTTTTTTTAACATTCCTTCCAGAAGTCTTTTTTCTTTTTCATACTCAGCAGGGGAGTGATCTGCATATATATATGAGTATTAATCATTTTCCTAATGTGTGCAAGAAGAATGTTTTTTATACTTTGTTTGTTGGTGCATGAAGACAAATTGCTCCCCTCTCCCACTAATTACTATTGTTTTGACATGAGTCAATGATCTTTTAATGAGGAGAAACGTGGGTTGTGAGAAATGCAGAATCTGAATGGAGTACCACAGTCGGCACTGAGATTTCCAATGATAGCCTTATTTGCTGTGAAAGGAGGGGCTTAATGCGTTGTTTGCCAATAGTTTTAGAATATTAGAAAAGATTGGCTTAGTAAGCCATTTAAAATCAAGAAACTTTATTATATATTTTCATTTTAACTTTCAGCCCTTCCTTTCGAGAGCTATTAACCTTGCTTTCATTGGACCATGTGAGTGATATGAGTTTCACCTTGCATTTAAAAGTCAAGGTATTCTTAGAAAAGCTATGTTTATCATAGCGAAGTACTCCTAGAGGAATAAAAAATGAAAATACTGTTTGTCTAGGTGTAGAATAAGAACCTTTTTATTCCAGTTGAGACTGGAAATGCTTCTCCCTAAATGCCATCATGGTAAGCTTCCCCCCCTGTTCAGTTCTGTGTAGATCCTTTTCTAAATTAGAACTACACTGAAATCTGAAGGGAGTGGGTTAGGAGCCCGCAATGTCAATGGGTGAAGCTGGGGTGAATGGGGAGGTCAGGGAGAGAAACTTTCTGTTCCCTTGAGTTTCCAGCTTGAAAGCGATGGGGTTTATGATAGGTTGATTGTGGTTTTATGTGGCTGATAGTTTAGATCACAGAATTATGAAATAATTCAGGTTAGAAGGGACCCATGGAGATCATCTTGTCCAACCTCCTGCTTAAGGGCAGGGTTAGCGATGAGATCAGATCCGGTCACTCGTGTTTTTTCGCAGTTGGATGTTGAAAGCGTCCAAGGATGATGACTGCAGAACTTCTCTTGGCTATCTGCTCCATGACCTGACTGTCCTAATAGTGAAAAAGCGTTTTCTTTTATCCAATCTGAACCTCCCTTGTTTTAAATCCCGCCCTTTGTCATGCATCCTGCGACTGCAGACCACTGCGAAGAGCCTGGCTTCACCACCTCAGTAATGTTTTCGTGGGTGTTGGAAGGCAGCTATGAGGTCCAGCCATTGCCTTCTCTAGGCTGAACGAGCCTGGGTCTCTCCTTGTAGGACAAGTGCTCCGACCCACTGATCGTCGTGGTGGCCCTCCACTGAACTTGCTCCAGTTTGTCGATGTCTTTCTTGTACGTGGGTCCCAAAACTGGATGCGGTGTTCTAGATACAGTCCCACGAGTGCTGCACCGAGGGGGATAACTACTTCTTGTTAAGGTGTAAACAGCTGAGCTACAGGTTGAAGCATGCTGTAGCAAAATCTAAAGCCTGGCTTCATAAGGTTTTTCTGTTGCCAAAATCCCTACAGAAAGGGCAAATCTTGAAGCATACCTGAGGGTGGTAAAACACACGCATTTTGGAGTCAAGATTGCGGTAGTTCTTAACGCACTATTGCTAGCACAACTGCAATCTCAGCTCTTGAGTTTTAAGCTGCATCTGCTTATGGGCTTTTATATGATTTATCGTGGTAAGTAGTAACCTTAATCACACAATACTGGCTTGAAATAATGGTGTAACTAGAAAGGTAAACCGTATGCCTTGCTATTTGTAGAAATGTGTGGAAAACTTTGATTTCTGAAGTTGAAAACAGAAGGTTTACTTCATTGCTGTTTCACGTGAATGAGCTGAGCGATGCACTTCCAGTCACATTTCTAATGTGTAAGAATTGCCAGTTTCCTAGATTACTTCTGAAAGAGAAACCAAAAAACGCTGCTGTGTCAGGCTTTAAGTGCATCCTGTTTACAGGAGGGTTACCTCTAATGGCTTTCATGCATTTTTTATTTTTTTTCTTCAGTGATAAAGCAACTTTTGCTTGCTTTTATAAAAATGAAACCTGAAAAGCTCAAGAGCTTTAGAAATAAAGCAAGCAATGCCATACCTGGCTCTGTGCAGCTCTTAATGAATCTGGCAAACCTATGGCCTCTCCTTCCTTTCTTCCTTCCTACTTGCCTTTAACTAGACTGTAGGAATTGAAGTGAATATCCTAGTTATCGGAAGGAAACACATCTTATAATATTATTAAAGAATGGCCATTTTCAAAATGGGCAAATAAGATAAAGTACTGAAATTTGATGCGTACTGTGTAAGCTTTCTGGGTGTCATGACTGTACCGTGTGTGGAACGAGCTGTATTTATACCTGCAGCAGCAGATAGTGAGCAAGCCTTTAGCACCCTGCCAAAACCCAAGTTCTTATTCTAATGGCATTTTAAGTCTTGAGAAACTGGCAGTTGTTTGGGGCTTGGCTTTGAACTGACACTTTGATCTGGTTTCCTGGGATTGAAGAAAGAGCACATCATGGAGGAATTCGGGCTGCATCTTAAATTCAGGCTCGTCTTAAAAGAACTTGTTCTTAAAATAAATGTGTTGGGTGTACCCTGAAGCTCACAAGAGCTATATACAAAAAGTTCATAATCGTGTAACTTACCTTGATATTAAGTTCAGAGCACTGTACATAAAAAAAAAATAGACAAAAACGTCACCTCCTTCTGATCTTGCTCCAGAAAGCGAGTGACTCTTGAAATGCCCAGCAGCGCTAGGCCTGTTGGTTTCAGACTTGCTACTAAACTGTGCCTTTTCAGGTAAAAATCGGAGAGCATTTCTAATTTTTTGTTCTGTTATAAAAGTGATTTTTGTGTGATTTGTCTTGTCAGTCCAGTTGTTATGCTTTTCTGAGCCGTAAGTATGATATTTGTTCTTCACTCCTGCTCTTCAGTCTGCTGAAGTCTTCAGATGACTTCACGCTGCTGCTGGCGTGAAACAGCAAGACAGTGGTGCATGGTGGGGTCTCCTCTTCTTTCCTCGTCTTTTTTCCTACACATACCTCTCCCTCAGACAGCAGTTGGTTCTTATCGCTTGTCCTGCGACCTGAGGCATATCTTGTCAGTTGGCTTGCCTGGTTTAGTGTTTGCTAAACTGGTAATTTTTTTTCCCCTCAATGGTAAGTTTTTTTTTTTTTTTGTGGCAGATCAGTTAATATTCACACAATATCTTTCATTGTTTACAAATTGCCCAGAATCTAGTAGATGATGTTGAAAGATTTCACTGAAAGCTGAAAATAAAGTATATATTTATGCCTTTGTATAACCTTATTGAAAACCTTGCTCTGAAGTTTGATTTTAAAAAACAACTTCCATTGGCTTTAATACACCCCTGCCACGATGGAGGTTTTCAAAATAAAGAGACTAAAGAGGTTCTTTAGCTTCTGGAAGCTATAGATAATATTTTAGTGGATTACATGACATTTGCTATGGAATTAAAACAGTACAATACATGTTCTTTATAGTGCAAAACTAACAATCAAATTAGGCATGCCTAATCAACTTTCATTTTAAATGACTTCTTTCAGTATGAAGATGAAGAAGCTGCAGAGGAATTCAAAATTTCCAGCTTTGTAGACATGGTTCGAGATTGCAGTCGCATTGGCATTCCGTACAGCTGCCAAGGTAGGTTAGCTTGTTTTATGCTTATAGTGTAAGTGTTTTGCAGCATGCAAGTCATGCAGTTCAGGAACTGAAGATTTCCTTGCCTTTGGTAAGAAATGAGGATGAATATGTCAATAGTTTCCTTTTTTTAGCCTCTTAAGTAAGAGCTGGGTTTCTTTCTGAAAAATGTAAGCCCCTAGACTTCATCTGAAGAGTGAATGCTCACAGCGTGAGGCAAAGAAATAATTTGCATTCAGAGAAGTCTGTTCTGCTGCTACAGAAGTTCTCTGTTCAGATGGGAGCTCCAGATAAATACTTCTTTATGTAAGGAAAGAATAAACATTTCGTTATGCAAGTTTCCTTTTTTAGCAGCGAAAAAACTGGACTGAATGGCTTCCTGTTATGATCTGTAGCCAGCCTTGCAGCCTGAACAGTGCAATCTTACATCGTTCAGGAAAGTGTGCTTTGCAGTGTCCCCAACAGTGAATAATGCAAAATCAACGCAGTGCATGTCCTTCACTTGTGCAGTGTGAGCGCGTGGGGTTTTTGGTCCATGATACAGCACGTGAGAGGCAAACAAAAAAAAAGAAAATTGCTTTCTGTTTTTGAACCATGTAAGTTCAAACCAAGCTAATTCAGTTTGGGGGATTTTTTTTTTTTTTTTTTTTTTTATTCTTAACTCTTCATTGCTTCTCTTGAGGAAAGGGTGATATGCTCTGACTGCCTGAAGAACCGTTAATGGGTCAGGGCATGGGGGAGAATGGCAGTTCTTTGTTAAGAAGTATCTAAAGAAGGTGTGTAGCTTAAGGATGGTAATCACACTCCACTTCAGATGGCTTACAGCTTCATGGATGAGTACCAGGCTGAAGAGTTTTCCTCTCCCTCAACTTAAAATTCTGATTAACATGGGGATGATGTTGACAGTATTTGACTTAAGGCCACATATTTAAAGAAATTGGAGTAAGCAAAGCTCCCTGTTAAATATTTTGAATTTTAATGGCACAGTTTTGCTAATGGTCTTTGAACGAAATTTGCGAGGGGACATAGTATCTTTTACCAGAGTGATAGCTGGAAAAAAGGGACAAAATTTGAGGTGTAAAGAAAGGAATTTCTAAAAGCTACCATCTTCACAAACCCCATTTTTCAATTACAGATTTTAAGCTGTACAAAGACAGGATAATTGAGATCCTTTATTAGAATCTCAGAACAACTCTTAAGATTTCACAAAAAGTTAAACTGCCAGTATTTGTGAGAGAATGTTTCTGTGAAACATTTCTTTTGCAGGTCATCTACAGATATTTGATATGTTCATTGTTGAAAAGTGGCCAATAGTGCAGGCTTTTGCACTGGAAGGAATTGGGGGTGATGGCTTCTTTACAATGAAATACGAAGTAAGTAGTTACATTTTTCATTTTCTTCCATTTCCATTCTGAAGGAGAAATTGAATCATGCAATAATTTCAGTTGGAAAGTACCATTTGAGATCATCTAGTCCTGACTCACCGCTCAAAGGAGGCCAGCTTCTAAGCTGGGTGAAGTTTTTTCAGGATCTTACGAAGCTGAGTTTTGAATGTGCGAAGATGGAGACTCCACGGTCTTGCTGAGAGACTGTTAGGAGCTACACAGCGCTCTGTCCTGCATGAACCATGATTGTTGGTGTGTCCCCAGCCCCCCTGTGGGGATTTAGAACTTTTTTCCTTCTTTTCTAATGTCTCTTCTACCAAAACCAGAAAACACTTTTTTAAACTCTGCTAGATGGGTATAGATCTTCAAGAGCAGTGCAAGAGAAGCTAGTTAGTGACAAATTCCTTTAAATGAATTGAGAAAATCAGAAGTGACTGTATTTCTTGGGTCATTAGTTTTGACATAAGAGATGCATCTACTTTTCTCATCAACATATATTTTTGGGTCATCATAGCCTGCTGAATATGGCAACAGTCAAGATTTTGGATGATGTTCCTAGTTTTAATAATGATTTGCTGTTCCTCTCTGAGCAACTTGTCATTTGATTTCCCTATTTGTTAAATATACTCTAACAGCCTCTTCAGAGGCCAGCTTTGTATTTGTGTACTTGTTTGAAGCTTCTTTTATTTCATTTTCTTGGACCTCTGCCACAGAAATGCAGATGTCCTATTTTTCTTATCACTCCTCCATTTTTACAGCCAGAATGTTCTTTGTCTGACTTCTGACAACTGGAAAAAACCCAAGGAATTAATGGTACCATTGTTAAAGTCTCATCACATGTAGTACTGTACACGCTTGCTCAAAAATCTATTATGTGAGTTCAAGTGTGCCTTTCTCTGAGCACTGTACTCTTTCCACTGATATTTTTCTTCATGCTTTTTTTTTTCTTCATTCTGTCACTGGTACTGTAATCATCTTGTTGTGTGAACCTGTCAAAATCGTTAAATACAAAGTGCAATTAGGTGAGCATCCTTGCGGAGGTCTGCCTAAATATCAACAGCCCTTCCTGACGTCTGAAATTAGTCAGTGAAGATTTGACTGTGAATTCCGGAGTTGTTTGGGTCTTGAATGACCCTTGCCAATTCTTTTCATGAATCCGTAGAGACCTTGAGAAAACGTGTAGACCCAGTATGGCAATGACTTTGTAAAGACGAAGCCTCTCCTATTTCACGGTGGGAGTTGATACTGTCTGTACGGCACTTTTGCAGACGTAAAAAGGAGAAATGCAAATTCTCGGTATCTCTTTTTAAGAGTGTGTTTGCTCTGGCGGTTCAG